GACATCATATTGGGTCAGCTTGGGTTTTAGCGCTCAGCTTGCTATCTACATCTGCCATTTCGAGCGCGTCGTATTAGCCTACATTTACTTTTAACTACTGCCCATTTAATGGAGCACCGTCTCGTGTGCAGGTGAAGATGTCCGGTACAATTCAAGCCATGAATGACTTATATAATAAAACAATGAATGACGTACCGTTGTTGTCTTTGCATTAAATTAGTGCAGTCTAATCCTACAATCTAAATCCTAAAACCCCCCACAAAAACAGAACAAAACAGGGTGTCCAGATCATGATCGCCTGTGTAAAAAGGCTTCAGACAGACGTAGTAAAAGTATGCGTAGTGTCATGCATAGTGGACGTTACACTGTCTCAACCGAAAGCCATTGTGACCGTGCGTTGATAGTAAAAGCTCACTCACAACAATGTGCAATGGAAGGTACCACAGTCATTTTGGACGTGACAGATTCAAACGGACTGACACTCACACTGCGTGAGACTGCTAAAATAACACCAGGGACAAGTTTATACACCACCCAGCCACCTTGTCTGTTGCAAAAAAAACCCCCAAACGTTCACTTCACTACAAGCTGTCATTCGTTTGCTCAGCATACTCACCCCCCGAGGAACAAACCAAACAGCAAAGCTTCTTCTTCGTCAGTTCACAGCGTAAAAAAAAATACCCACAATTCAGCCTAGGCTTAAAAAAGGTGCAATAACGAGCAAACGTGCACACTTCGTTAAAGCCGTTAAAAAGCAAACCTACGCACTTAACCCCAACGAGCTGATGCTTGTCTCCGTACTCACCACCTCTGAGTTGCGTTCAAACAACAAGCCGAACAACGTCGAAAACAGGCGATGATAGTCATTACCAACTTCAGGTGCAACCTAATCGACACTACTACTCCTTTGTATCCACTTTTACCGCTTTGACATTTAGCTACAGTAGCTCAGCCGTTGAGCCAAGAGGAAGTGTCATTTTCAGTTCTCAGCGCGCGAGGCTTTTAGCACGAGCTGTTAACCGTTACAGTGGATGGGGACAAACGTTGACAGCAGCGCAACAGCGGAGTGAAAAAACTACTCACCTTTTGTAAAATTCGTCCTTGGTGAAAAGCGTACGCACTTCAGGGTTATTTTGTCCGACTCTAGAGATTTCGATGTGACTTCTCGAAGTGCTGTCAGTTGGTCTAGACTTCCTGAATGACGGAGCAGCAGGAGCACAACCCCTAGCCCGTGTTTGACAGCCACTCTGACAGACAGGCGGAAATAAAGTTGTCTCGTGTTGGGAACCGACCGCTGGAGGATGTGCGCTCTGCGCGCTTGGTATTTTCCACATAATATATGTCTGACTGATTGTTTTGCGTGTACTTTATGCTCAGTTGTTTTGTCCGAATTCAATACAATTTTTTAAAGTATGAATCATTCTTACAGTGGCGCAGCATTCAAAAATAAAGATATTAATAAAGATATTATTGAAAGTGAACGACCAACAATCCTTTACCCAATTTCCTTTGCAAATCATTAAAGATGCATGGACTGAGTCATCCCGATTCTGTTGCAACTTCAGAGATGGCAAGCCAGCTAGTCTGCTAAATATGCTCAGTGCGATGATGCCACCTGCTGTTGTACTTTGGAAGTTTAACTGTAAAATTATTGCGTTTATTCTGCATCAGGGCCGTTTCCAGGAGTTTTTGCAATAGGATGGCCGGGGGAACGGGGAGACCAATAAAAACCAGTGGGGGAGTAGGATGGGGCACAGGAAACCACAATATTTGATCCGAAACGAATACCGCGTATTCACTAGCAAGGACCTCAACCTCAGATGCAAATGAAGAATATTTGCTGATAATGATTACTGGCTCCTGGCCTAACAGATTCCACTGATACCTTTTGGATGACAAACAGGAAAAATGGGGAGGGAGGGTGCGGCATGGAAATAAGGACATGTGTAGGAATAGATGTAAGTTGAGGAGAATGTGTGGATTGTAGTTTCACTCCTTAATATGATAATAAAAATGAACTCAAGTATTATAATTTTCAGGCTTATCCAGACCTGTTTCCTAATACAGACATTATGCCAGAAGTGGCACTTAAGAGTATAAAAATCTAGATCTGTTTAAATTAATTCCATTCTACTGAATAGCTGTTTTGTAATGTGGAGAAACAAGTATTCAGACCATCAATAAAAAAGTTGTATTCTTACTTATTTTCCCCAATAAATCAAAAGTTTTACTTTTGATTGTTTAAAAGGAACAGTGAATGTTAATGGACATCATATAGACATCTAAAATGTAGATATGCCAGATTTTTTACCCAGAACTACTAATTTACATCATTACTACTTGGGCAGGTAACATGAAACTATTAAAAAATATAGTAAAAATACAAACAGACCTGAAAACACAGATTGTCAAACAATACATTATGTTAAGTTAAAAGCAATCACAGATGTGGTTTGCAATCAGCCATTGCTTGAGTTATGCCCTAAACATAGGATCTTTACAGTGTCTCTTTGTTGTAACTGGTAAACTATTTAAACATTTATTTCTCTTTTCTCTTCTATAAATGTGAAGTGCCTTTCTCTTCTAGAGGTAGGCCTAGTAACACTCCCAACAACAATTCTTTGTTAATAAATTCATTTTAAGATGGAATTAATTTAATTAATGTAAATGTATTTAGCATTACTGCCTATTAGTGCAAGCAAAAGTGCTTGCAGAATCATATGTTTTGTAACACTCATTCACAATTAACGATTTATTATCGTGTCACTTTGGTGTTGATTAATTAATCATATTCTGCTGGGTAACTTTATCTACAGTAGATTTATGTTTAGAAATCTGAAAAAATAATAACTAACTCAAGCTTTAAAATACATTTTATGGAGTAAAAAATACACTATATCTATAAAAGTATTTGGGCACACCTCCTAATTGTTCTTAATTCAGATGATTTCAGTCCCATAGCCACAGGTGCACAAAACTCAAGCAGCCACGCTGAGTACACACAATGGCACAGCCTGCCTTTACAAATATTTGTGAAAGAATGGGTCATTCAGTAAATTTGAGCATGCCTCTGTGGGAAGTCCATTTGTGAATTTTCTTCCATTCATTTATACCACTAAATGGTGTTGTTGCAAAGCCACACTAGCCACAGTAACTCAGCCACACAGTGGTACACCATGTAAAGGTTACAAAGCAGGGTCACAAAGTGCTGAGGCACAGAGTTGCAACTGTCCCTTAGTATTAAAATCAAAACTGTGCATCAGGAATTTCGTGGTATGGATTTCCATGGCCATATTTTTGTCCATATAATGTATCATATTTGAATTCAAAATATACTGGAGTAGAACGTCTCATGCTTTGATAAAAGCATGAGACGTAAATGATAAAGTTAAGTACCAAAGTGCATTACTGAAGTGCAAGCTGTCTTCAAGTAGAACTGGGCATTATATGATTAACAGTATTCTCGTCCACTGGCATCACTGGGGTCAAACTATCACTTTTTATGTCTGTCCAAGTACAACACTGATATATTTGCTGTTAAAATGATAACATTTCACCAATTATTTGACAGAATTATTTCACTAATTTAGTCAAATTCATATCTAATGACCAAAATAATGCCAAAATGATACCAAAATTAAGGATGTAAATGTCAACGTTAACCAAAAAAACAAACAAACAAATTTCCATAGACTGTCAATGAAAGATCGTTACTGAGCATATTCTGCTCATATAAAGTAAACTGCATTTTCCTAAAGTTTAGGTTTTCAACATAATACACTAAATACACCAAAAAAAGGTTAATAGTAAACCATACGTTTTTGTTTCTTTGAATGCTTTTGTGATTTATTTATTTTTGTTTTGTTTTATCTGTTTATTTTTTATTTTTATTTTTTTAAATAAAGCATGCTAAATCTGATTGTTTTGTTTTTTTCTTGAGCTGTCCGTAGATTTTCTGTAAAAATTACTATAGAAACACAAACACATTTTGTAGTTCTTTTGGTCACTACTGTTTGAAAATGTTTCTGAGTTAATGTGTGAACACTGGGGCGGGGAAGAGGCAGCTGACAGGGATCAGCAGTGGCATGAATGAAAAAAACTGGCGTTCACCAATCACCTTCCGATGCTAATCCTTAGAGTAGTGAAAAAAACAAAGAAACTTATTAACTATCCAAATGTGATAGGAAATGTGCCTGTTTAGATGTTTTACCATATATTTCAAATCACTCATAGAAAACTTGGCCTCTATTAATTAGCGGTGACTGTTTCAAAGTTTTTCTGCTAGTTCTATTAAAAATTGCGATTAAATGTTTTATACGACTCGTTTATTATCGAAATTCTACCCAGGCGTATTCTTGGACAGCTTGACACCCGGGGGTCCTACCAGTTGTAGGCGCTCTTCCAAGCAAGCTGCAAAACACAAATCGATTGTTTATTTTGTGTTTGTTTACATTTTTCGGAGCGCATAAATGACTTCGACTTTGCTGTCGCCCATGGTGGATTATTACAATGATGAAGAAGAACTCGATAGCGTGGATGACGACGACGATCGGAGTTTCAGGGGGAGAGACTCGGAAGAAGGTAACGTTTTCAACAATATCTTCCCCGATTGTCGGGCTCTGTCTAGTTGTTGGAAAAAACGGAAATGCGCGCTTTATTGTATGAATTTGGATGTGTTTTCTTAAAATGCAGCATTTAAGTCGTTTTCCCCCTTCCAGTGGAAACCGTTTGTCCATGTAGCGTAGTATGCGCTAGTACAAACCAAGTTGAAATGTATTTCTCGCTCCCAAAACTGGAAAGCTACTTCAATGCAGCCACACGTTACTTAGTTAGCTTTCTAGCTACGTTTAGGTACACAGTACCACGAGCAAAGAGTCTGCCTGGTGTGGAACTGTCTCAGAAGTATGTGATTTAAGCTCACTAAGCAAAGCAAACCGTTCGTTTTTTTCAGAGTTGGCAGCAAGTCGAGCGAAAGAAATAATCAGTGATAAACACGCTAAGATTGCTAGCATTAATTTTTAGCGTTATACACAAGAGCATGAAAACCGCAACGAAAACACCACTGACCACAGTGCCTTGACGCACATGTGCGCTTAAAACAGTGCTCCCGAAGCACAGCTATAAATTTCAACTATTCGGGTTTTTTTTCTTAAAAAAATTATGGCAGTCCAAACGTTAATGAGCCAACTTGCTACGTAACGTTAGCTCCGGGCATTAACAGGTCGGCAGGAAGGCAAGCGAAATCCTGCGTGCTGTGTCCACTGCTCTGCCCTTTTCACACACTTCACTGAGACAGAACGGATTGCAGGGAAAGGGAAAGAAAGACCGGATCAGAGGAAGGCGATGGCAACACTGCAAGGTTAGCCAATTCCCTGACATTGACCTCCAAAGCGAACAGCTGGACTTATTTTTCTTCTCCTCTCCGGATATGTTCTTCTAAGCCTAACTACGTAAGCTAGAGTCGGGTTACACTCTTTATCAGCAGGCGCGGCTAACTTATGCTAGCACATTAATGCTAGCCGAAAATGAAAGGTGCTGTGTCAGCTTGAATACAGAGAGGGGCCTTAGTCTTTGCTCGTCTTGACGTTTCAACGTAAAGCCGGTGAATTTTTTTTCGTCAGACATATGTGGTTATAACTTGGTTCCCGAGCTTCTGACATCAAACCAGGTTTGGTGAAACATGCTGGCGTTGTTTCGAGATAGTTGCTGTTGGATTGACAGCACTACCAAGTTAGCCGGGATCTGTACTGGTAATTACACCTTGCGAAAAGTGCTTAAAAATATAGATCATCACTCTTTCTATAAATGTCATCGAGAAAAAAAGCCCAAGGGCAGTTAAGCCGATGTACCCACTTTAGTTTGGTTTAGCTGAGCGTTTTCTGCGGTCGATTCAAGAATACGTAGAGGTATCAGCTGTTATCCTGGCATACGTGGATTTCCCACTGTCTACATTCTCAACCCCTGGGCATTCCCAAGCAGGGTGTAGACCATTGCTTCATCTGTGCCACGCACATACTTTCATCTGCAGATATCTCTGCCATCTGTGCATCAAGGTTGTTTTTGAAAACTTATGCCTGTAAACATTCCTGATATGATCACATGTGAAGTATTTGGGGAAAAAATGTTTTCAAATTTTAGCTGAGAAAATCCCTTCCTTTTTCTTCTTGATTTTCCAGACACTGAGGATGCCAGTGAAACTGATCTTGCCAAACATGACGAAGATGACTATGTGGAAATTAAGGAGCAGTAAGTTTCTTGCCAACTGAGGATCAGCAGCTCTAACCTTTCACTGAAAATCGTTTTTGGTGATGGAAGTTTTAAGTTACTGTGCTATTGTAAGGGGATTGGGACTTTAGCTTTTCTGTCATTGCAGAATGTATCAAGACAAACTGGCCTCTCTGAAAAGGCAGCTGCAGCAGTTACAAGAAGGTAATCATTTTGACTTATTTTCATATGAATGGAGGTGTCAGGAATTATCCATATTTGAAGGACTGATGCCTTTTATTGTGTGGTACTGTGTGTGAGCATGAGGATTAATTTTGACTTGTCAAGGGCATAGCCAAAACCTTACTTATTAGTCATGGTGCTTAGTGGTTAGAAATTACATCATCAGGCAGAAGAGCAGTTTAAAAGTGCTCGCTTGTCACTGGCTAAAAAGATAAAACAGTGATGACAAATGGCCCTCTGCCATGAGCTCATTTTTATTGTTAAGACTGTCTGTTGTTTACTGATGCAAACTGCTTCTAAACTGCTGAGTGAGCTGTTTGAAAGTACTGTCAGCTATCCCAAAAGGCTTTTACTGCTCATGCTGATGATTGTAGAAACTGCAGAATGATAAGTTATGTTTTGCAAATCCCAAAGTAATCACAGTGTCAGTGTATTTTAGTCTACCCTGTGGTTCAGTGTAAAAGGTGTAGCAAAAAAAAAAAATATTAGTGGGTAGTCTACAATACTGGATGGTGTGTTTTCATGAGTGAACAACTGCCAGCATTAATATCTAAAACACATTTGTGTCTTTTTAGGCACACTGCAAGAGTATCAGAAGAGGATGAAGAAGTTGGACCAACAGTACAAAGAGAGACTTCGAAATGCAGGCAAGAACATGAAGTGCTTTACTTCTGATGCATCCATGCCAACCAATGTTGGGCACGCTGTTTAGATTTAAGGAAGCTTTTTGCTGTAGTTTGGCTTGTTTATTCAGGGAAAAGCACAGGGCTACACACGACTGTGTGTACCTGAAAATAAAAATAGCCGCTACTAGGGCTGCACGATGTTGCATAAAATGAGAATCACGATTTTTTTGCTTAGAATTGAGATCACGATTCTCTCACGATTTTCTTTTCCAGTATAAATATTTATTGCGCTTATTAACTGCACATCAACTTCGTAACAGTTGAGACTGAACATAAAAACAATAAATAAACATAAAAACAACAAATGTCTCACGTTTTGTCGTTGCCGCAAAATGTTGTACTGCTTGAAATTCCATCTCCACCGTTGCTCGACACTGCGTGTACAGAGCAGGTAGTACAACAATAGAAAAATAGTTGCGGGATGGCACTGTGTAGCGTTTGTCTAGGGTGTTGATCATTTTCCTAAATCCCTCGTTTTGCACAGTGTTCATGGGAGCCATATCTTTTGGTCAGGTGATAAGTAATAGCCTCCGTAATTTCTTTGTGCCTGCGGGAGTTCAAAGGGTATAGGGCAGCGCTGTATAAGGTTCCCGTTATTGATGTTTGGGTGGTTGACCGGGACGGATTTTCTCCTGTCACTTTCTCTCATCCCTGACGAGCTCTCCGTTGTTTTTTCCCTGCTAATTTTAGCAGCCAGCTTCTGTATCATGTGGTATAAGGCTCCGCCCTTGTCATTTGTTGAGCAGGAAGAGTGAGCGCTTGTTTTCATGCAGATTACGTCCGGGATCAAAATGCGGTACAATCGTCGTCATCTTTTTTTTTTCTTTTTTTTTAAAAATTGTTGTCATTTGGAAATGAGATCGCACATAAGTATGAATTGAGATCGCGATTTTCTAACGATTAATCGTGTAGCCCTAGCCGCTACCATCGATTTAAGAAGAGAAGTATGGGTAATGAAAGAATCAAGCCAATGTCTTGGTTGGACTTTTTAAACAGCAATTTTTCCCACACACTTAAATTGACCTTCCCATATAAGGCCTTCTTCTGAGGTGGTCTTCAGTATCATTAAGCTGCTTCGTAAGAATAATAGTAGTCCTTGTTCTGCTCTGGAGATCTGCTGTGAGCTGGATAATATAAACCTGCATCTGCTGCAAACTGATCCTACGCTAGGCTTAAAAAGATGACAAGATATAGTTCCAGGTGGTGGAGTTGGGAGTTTTAGCCACGTTATCAGAGACTCACTGAAGAGACAGCTGACGATATTGCTCAGTTACTTGTTATAAAAGCTATATATGTATATATTTTAAGTTACTTGGTGGTTGACTTCACACAACATGCATGCCTTCTTCCGCAGGGCTCCTGCTCACACCCACATGTCCCAAACACATAAATCCATGTGATGCACTTAACTGTATTGGGTGGAATGAAAGCGCATACTGTCTACTCATTTAAACTTACAGGATGCTGTTTTGTAAAAGACTGAGCTTCTTCTCTCTGTTTCCAGCCTGTCCTCTAACCATTTGACTGCTTTAATTATATTGGATACTCTGCTTTTGTTGACTCCGTAGCTTGTCTTGTTTGGGATCAGCTTTCTCCTTTGCTTGCTGTGTGCCAGGATGGAATGTACTTAGTTTTTTGCTGATCAAAATGAGTGTTTATTTAGTTAGGAATGCAGTGCCAAATGGCTCTGGTAGTACACTCATAATCACTGCAGTGGAGAGTAGTAAGTATGTAATTACCAATGATCAGTTAATTTCTAACGCTAAAATGACTAAAAGATAAACAGTCAGTGCCTTATTGTTCTCAGAGTTTTACTTGAACTTCAGTATTTTACTATAAGCGTCTGGTACTTTGTGCTCCTGTGCTATAAGCATTCTCTTTTATGATTTTTATGAGGGTAAATAAATTGAATTTAATGACACCGAACAACGGTTTGCTTCATGTAACCAGTTGTGCTTTATTTTTCCCATTTACAGATCTATTTCTCCAGCTTGAGGTAAGTACAACAGTATCTGAGACGGTCTGACGCTAATGTAAAATCAAAATCAGCCATTATTTTTTTTTTGTACTTTTTGGACATACAAGCATACATTTCTTCTCTCTTTCTGGCTTTGTACCTTCTGCAGACAGAGCAGGTGGAGAGGAACTACATCAAGGAGAAAAAGGCAGCAGTGAAGGAGTTCGATGATAAAAAGGTTGAGCTAAAGGAAAACCTAATTGCAGAGCTGGAGGAGAAAAAGAAGATGATTGAGAACGAGAAATTAACAATGGAGCTGACAGGCGGTAAGGGAGCCAGAACAGGATTATTAATCAGGGACTTGCTCAGCAAAAGAGAGATGGGGTAAAAAAAAAAAAAAAGTATGTGGGTGGCTGTATTTTACTTCTTTCTACATATTTTAATATTAAGTCATCAAATGAAATCTGAATTTTCAGATACAGTTAAGATGCTGATCTCTATTCATCTATGCATCTGGAGCTCACACTCATATTTCTTCTATTCATAGACTCCATGGAGGTAAAGCCTATCATGACCCGGAAGCTGAGGAGACGGCCCAACGATCCAGTCCCAATACCAGACAAGCGGCGAAAACCTGCACCAGATATCCTTTGCATAAACTTGTGACTGTAGAATATCCCAGATTATTTATACTTGTAGAATTTGTTCTTGAGATACCTTAAAATAAATAAAAAATGATTTTGTGTCTTAAAACAAACAAAAAACTTTCTTTGACTCTTCAAACCTCAGCTAAATTATTTGCTAACAGATGAGCAGATAATGGAAGATTTAAGAACACTTAATAAAGTGAGTGCTTCTAAATTTCTAGATGTGATGTGTTTTTGGAAAGCAATATAACTCAGCAATTCCTTGTAATAAATCTTGTCAACCCTGCTTTTTACAGCTGAAATCACCAAAGCGACCAGGTATGATTGCACGTACCTTCTACTACGGATTTTTATAATGAACATTTATGTGTGTACTGAGTTACAGCACAAAATTAATACCTCTCAGACAAAGAGAGTAGCATTGGTCTTCTGCTAGGAGAAAGGGTCAATAAAATGCATCACAGTAATATTTTGTTTCTTACATTTATATTAGCAGGGGGATATTAATCGGGTGTTTCTCCCTCCCTAGTGTCTCCCTCATCTCCAGAACATGTCCCCTCTGCTCCCATGGAGAGCCCCACCCAGCGTTATGAGGCCCGCATCGAGGATGGGAAACTTTACTATGATAAAAGATGGTGAATTTCAAGTTTTAATCTGTGCATCTCTGACACGATAGCGATTCATACACAGCGTCGCCACTAGATGGCCACATTGTTATGAGTTGGATGTTAGCTTGAGCCTGTAAAGATATTTTACAATCACTGTGATAGCAGCCTCATTTTTTTTCTGCGCTAAAGAGAGATTGCTTAGGAGCTACTGAATACTATGCTTAAAGGCACTGTTAAAAATGCATATTTGTAGAATATGTCTGCACAAGAACCAGCAACGCACTCCCTGCTGTTATGCCAAAATAAGAGTGAAAATCCCCGAATAGACACAGCCCTCCCTTGCTCGATTTTAGAGCTGAGTGGTGAATCAGACACGTCAGAGCATAAGGTCATTTGAAGATGGGTAAAAATAATAGAATTCTGTCCTATTAGCCGCTCATATAGACAAAGTAATTTGAGAAGACAGAGCTATGTGCACTTTTCTTTCAAGGCAAAGTCTCATTTATTGATGGCTAAAGAAGATGCCACCACTGGAAAGCCTTCTGAAAAAGCCACAGGGAGGCACATGCGTCATTATTCTTCAGTGGGCCCTTAATAATGAAATACCTTCTGTCAGTCTCTTCCTCTAGGTTTGTTCTGTCCTCTATAAGGTTGGAGCTATTAAAAAATAACAGACTTTTTGTTTTGATTTTTCATTCCAATTATCTACTTAGTGCCTTCTCAGGAGTAATGTGGTTTATTCAGTTGGGTAAAATTATTTATAATGAACTTCCCTCCAGTCTGCACTTGTTTGTTTGATGTTTAGTCTGTGTGTGTTTATGCTGACAGGTACCACAAGAGTCAGGCCATCTACCTGGAGTCAAAAGACAACACAAAGATCAGCTGTGTCATCAGCACAGTAGGAACCAATGAGGTGGGTTTTAGTTCTCATTCCAAGCATCAGCATCTTATCCAATTGCGTACAGAACTGTATAATTAATTAAGATTGAAGTATTCTGTGTATATAGTCTTTAGAAAAATTGTCATTCCTATAAGATGACCAGACAAGAAGACCATAAGCATTGTCCTTTCCAATAAGATAGTCTCTCTAGTCAAAGCTCAACATCGTATGTTTCTCCATGGCATAGCGCTCAATTGTTTTCCCAAAAAACATTAAAAAGACATCAGCAAGACACACTGTTGCGCGGGGCAACATATTCCATCATTACCAGACTCTATGCCACATGTACTATCCTGCTGCTGTGAATAGTCACCAGAGCACTAAATGTTTATTGATAAACAGCTGAAAATAGTCTCTAAGTATACAATTCTGTTTGAGGAACATCTGCTAAAAAGTATGGTGCCCAGCTGTTTTAGGATATTAGAAAACAATTTGGGAGGGGAAAAAAACAAAGGAAAAATCAAAATGACATTTGAGACCAATTGTGCAGCAGTTGTACTTCTGGGTTTCCACAAGCACATTACAAGCTTGAAAATGCCTTGTTTTTTTCTTTTTTTTCCTTTTTTTTTTAAAGTTAATATATTGTATTGATATCTGATAGGACTTCTGATAGCTTTTACAATTTACTAAAATAACAATAACATATCCTCACATAAGAAAAATGGTACACCCTCTATTAATTCTAAGCTTTTTAAATACAGGAGACATTATAAAGCCTATGACTCCCTTTCCAGGTTTTAAAAGTTAGATGAACAAAACAGGAATATTGAACAATTTCATTATTTATTTAACAAAAATAAAAACGCACACACCATGATTTACAGTCTTTTAGCAGCAGTGACTTTAAAGGTATAGTAAGTAATTTTTTGCGATTATGTAAGAGAAAAAACAATGTTGTAATAATAAATGTCCATTGATGAGTGTGTAATTGCACTTTTCAAGAAATTGAATAATCTCACAAAATACATAGGGGCATACCCTGGTTTGTGAAAGTCACCATGGAAGTTACTGTTCCATTTTTTTGTATGTGGGTTGAGACCAGCTACATAGTTTTATCTTATAAATTAAAGATCACAAACAACTCTTCCAAACTGTACATGGCCATTAAAATGTCTACATGCATCCTTTTGTCATCTCTTTCTCATTATGCCTTTCTCCTCCCTCATTTCCACCTAATTCTATTCCTCCACAACTCAGCCCTCATCTCCTGAACTGAAGGCAGGGGGCTAACACACTGAAATGTGCATAAATTAGCTTATTGTCACAGTTTCTTATTGTCAGCAGATTACATATGCGACCCTCTGGACAGCTGACTATGAGCTGGCTAAACAACAACAGCCGGTTGTAACCTAACATTTTGACAGCTAATGTCAGGCTTGAGTGTACTATAAAAAATAAAATAAAATAAAATTGCACTTTCACTCTCGTAATAAGTTTGATTTCATAAACATTGTATGAAGGTTTATTTTCCAAGTTTCAGAGTCCAAAAATATTAGATTCAGGGAAATTTCTTTACTAATGCCGGGTAACAGCAGCTAACATCAGTAATGGCAACAGCACTTACCAATAGAAATGTACCAGATATGCTCAACAACTCACCTCAGAAATGCTGTGATCCGACACAAGTGAGACTCACTGACTAATCAGTTTGTATCAGAATTCTTTAAAAAAGCTTTATAGCCTCTTCCAGAGTAAATAGACATGGACACATTATTGAGAGCTAAGGTAAACAGCAAGCTGACTGCCTATACTTCAGTACACATGAAGGGTGACCAGAGTTGTTTGTCCTACTGCGAACGCCGTAGCTCGGATTACGCACCTGAATTAGGAGAGGTAATGCCTGTGTTATTCTTCAGTGAGAAATCTACATTATAACAAAACAGGAAACCCCTTTTAACTCTACACTCCACCCTTCCACGCCATCAACTCAATGTGTAGTTTCTTTTCTCGACAGGTGCGTGGATGGTCACGCCATAGATTTCCCGCAGTATAAATCAGACTTTAAAACCAGAATTCAGTTGAATGAAATCTACTGACATCAAGTGGTTAGACAGCTCTCTTAAGGTCCCGCCACAGCATTTTAATCAACTTGACGTCTGGAGTTTTAAAAAGAATCAAGGTGTTGCAATGGCCATTCAGTCATGCTCAGAGGAGTTTATGGTTGACACAATGCCTAAGGTGCTCAAGTCCTGTAGGTTCAAAACAAACCCAAATAAAGCCTGTCTGTAGTTCTTGGGGTTTTGGCAGTTTGTCTGAGCACTGTATGGTGGCCTCAGGGTGAATTTGCTGGAACATCTACATTGGAAAAACTGGTAACTGCTTTGTACTTGTGAATAATCTTCACTTTGTTTGGAAATGGCTTTTTAACTCAGGCAAATGTTACAACTCACTACGGTTTTACCTTTTCAGCTAACCTTTCCCTTATGTTCATTAATAACAATAGACAAAGTTATTCATTACTGATTTTTGAATGAGGGTAACTTCTCCCTCTGGTATCGCCTACATTATTTGTTGTCATGCTTGATGTCTTTGTGCAGCTCCCTTTTTCTGTTTGTGCCATACATTATGCATTATGATGGGTGAATACCATTACATTAATGAAGTGCGACATTAAAGTTTTGCTTGAGTAGTTGAATGAAAACGGATATCATCAACTGTTTCATTGCACAGATTTGACTCGTTTTTTTTGATTTTCAAAAACAAAATTTATTAAAATGGAAGGAAAACTGTTCATTTTTAATGTTAAATGTGAATTTATTCATGAGGAACTTTTCCAGCTTCCTTTTAACGTGCACATGCAGAAGAAAGCAGTTTGGCTGTATTGAGGGTTTCTTCTGTGTGTGATTTCCAGATTTGGGTGAGAAAAACAAGCGACAGCACAAAGATGAGGATCTACCTGGGGCAGCTGCAGAGGGGAGCGTTTATCATTCGTCGGCGGTCGGCTGCGTGAAACATTACCACACCCAATCCCATCTGTGCGTTTACCCATCCATCCAGCCAGTGGCTCATTCATCCAGTTTTGGAGTCGAACATGTGGCCTCACATTCATATTTCATTATCTTATATACACTACCCCCTAAAACACAAATATACACAGACAAGGTCTTCTGTGGCTATGAATATCTCATCCAGTTTTTTCCCCTCATTAACCAAATGCTACTGCAGTGAACATGGCCAGATATCCAACTGTTTTCCAGCCTTATATTTGTCACTATGTGGCATGCATGTAAAACTGGTTTGTGGTCACAAAGATGACTTGTTTTGATTACAAATCTTTCCAAAGCAATCTTATTTACATTTATCATTAAGTTATTAAGTAGTTCTCAAACAGCCTGATTTGAATAACAGAAAAACTAGCGATGTGTGACCGATCAAGTACTGGAGGGAAAGAAAAAAACTATACAACTGAGTAACTGCTTCAGGTTGAACTGAATATAGAAATCCCTCAACTAAAATTACAGTTACTTTATACAGGAAGCAATGCCATTTTCAAGAATATGCCTTTTTTTCAGTATCATTATGAAGTAAAAGTTTCTTCCTATGCTGATTTGATGATTTTATTTTTTTTTTTTCATTTTTTTGTAATTTGTTATTTGAGAAATGTTTTTTGTGACATGACCTTCTCCATATGTGAAACTCCTGGATTAGTTTACCAGTATTTGCATGTGGAGCATTATGTTGTGATTTGTACTGTATTCCATTCTATTAAAGATGTTTTCTGCTTAATTTCAAGCTTCAGTTTTATTTATTTATTTTTTAAACTTGAATATGAAAAGCACCAAACCACAGTTGACAATCTAGTAAACACAAAAACCATTATTTATGGGTATTTAAGACACTTGAATAACACATAGGCCTGTATTTACTGCTGGCATATAAATTAATGACTTGTTAGTTTGGTGTCGCTTCAAACAACTGAAAGTAGCGGTTCTTGGTAGGATTTGAGTACCAGCCCTCATCATGAACTGGGACCCTCTGGCTTTTGGGCTATATTTATTTTGAGAGAAATGTTCAGGTGATTATTTTGTACAGGGACCTCATTGCTGTTATTTATGCAGAGACTAGTTCTTATATAGTACTTTTCTAATGCAGCATGTCTCTTTCACACATACATTCAGAGAAGCAATTTTTCCTACGTCTTAAGCGCTTCCTAACATTCACAAGCATTCACATTGTTCACATTCACACTGCTATAGGCGCCCCTCACCATAGTAGCACATGTCTTATACTGGTCCTTTATTGGCCCTTTATGGAATCCTTAAATTTATTTTGTCTGAAAAATGTCTCCAGTCCCCAAAAGTCCCCTTACTTCTGATTGGCTTCCCCTCAAAAAACTCTGAACTTCCACTTTCAAAGGGGAACAGTGCAATGAAAATTTATGAAATTAAGTATATAAAAATATTTTACTGCAAAAGTGGTTAAATTGATATTTGTTCTGGAACACTCCTTCAGTTATAAAACCTTGAAATGCCTAAAAAAAAAACCAAACAACAACAACAAAATAAAACCCAGTGTGAGTATCTTGATGCATTAATTAAATATTGCCAAATATTAAACTTGGCACAAAAAGTGAAACATTTGTATTTGATTATTTCTTTGTTACAATAATGCTTGTGGGTAAAAAAATAAAATAAAATCTTGCGCTCTTGGAAAGCCTGTTTGTTTCCCCATAAATGGTGTCACAGTAGCGAGGAGTTGAGTACGTGGGTTGTGCTCATAAAAAATCTTCACTGCCAATGTCAAACAGCTTGTTCGGCTATTGACTCTGGGTTGGTGTCATTTGGTCTAAGAAACATGACGTATTGGTAATTTAACAAGTAATTAATTAAACAAACAAAGGCCTCATTAGCATGTGGAAGAATCACACACAGTCACAGAACCCTGGCACCTCCTCCTTGGCACACATTCACTTGACACCAATTTTAATTTACAGCACAAAAAAGGTGATGTGTTGATATGCTCCAACAGTCCAAAAAGTTCTGTTGACCTTTCACTTTGTTTTAAAAAATGACCTTAATAATAATTCATAAATTAGATAAATTTGACTTAAAGACTAGTTGCATTTGCTCTGGCGTGTGATGCCTGTAGAACATAAAGTTAACATTATATGAGTGCATCACAAAAAATGAGAATATTGCAAATGCAAAGGACTTTCTTGAGTGTGGAAAAGAGAAGCTGTCAAGAGCTGCAGAGGCATATGCTATTTTTCTGCTGGTTATTAGGAGTGGCCTCTGTCACATGTAAGTAGTTTTTTGATCCGCTGATCATAGCTGCTTTAAACGCAGATAAGACCCCCAGGGGATCCCTGGACCATTTAACGTTTTAACATGTTTAATAATACGTTATTAATTAAGCAACAAGGTATAGTAAAGACAAGCATTTCAATTGCTGTTTATTTTTCCAAGTCGGCCGAGTCTGTGTTCTGAGTCCAAATCATCTGTCTATTTTTTTCCTGAATATTTTTTCACATCAACTTGCCGATGGATCCAAATAATCAATGTGACCGTGTCACCTCCCGGTTCCAGTCCTCTCACAGAGTGACTCTCAGCCATCCTTACACTTTGTAAACAGCTGAATTATTTGGCATTCAGCACAGATCTCTGTTAGCCAACCAGTCTGCCTCTTCCCTCTTGTGTGTCCTATCACTTTAACCGGATGGCATGTTTCACTTTGCCTGACTTAATGACACTGCCTGACAAGGAGGGCAATTACACTTTTGCCATGCTGCACAAAATGCAAGGCTCATCTGAAAGGGCTTGTTGTCCACAAGCCCGTCAGGTGTGATTGCTCAGTCTCTTGCAGGGACATGAAATGAGCTGATAGTGAATGTGATGCCTGTCTGCTCCCTTTATTGCACTGCATGTCTGACTTTTGGTTAAAGCCACAATAACATACACTCAGGCACTTAATGTGAGATTTACAGGGCTTGGGTTTATTTTAAGCATGGCATCGCATACAGCTCATTTAAAGTGATCAGCAATCAGGGGCAGAGTACATAGCCTTCTTGGTGTATTTGAAATTTCCTGTAGTTCTTTTTCAAATATTCATTTTAGTGTCTCACTGTGGGTATATGCAGACTCCCATATTGCCAAATAACCTCATCTGAACAACTATCTGTTACACTACGAAGTCCTATGTGGCCCCACACTCAGGAAAAGGTCAGCAAGAAATGGTGCAGGGTCAACCAAACTATAAAACCTTGCAAAGGTCAAAAGTGAAGTCCTGCTGCACATATTTCTTCTATAGACACGCCCCTAAAGACAGCTATTACTGTAGTGCGGGGGTGTTAAATACAGGCCCGGGGGCAAAAATTGGCCCAGTAAGGACTACCATCCAGCTCACTGGAAAATGCGAAGGAGGGCATAAGTTTTAGACTAAGTTTTATAAGTGTTTTTTAAAGTTTTCCTACCGATAAAGACCTTCCCCATGGGCATTCATACTACATCAAAGTCATTAAGGAATAGGTAAACAATTAAAAAAGGTCATAGCTACTATAAAGAATTATTCCATAACTATTCCACTAGTTTACTGTATGAAAATAAGTGCAGGGTATTTCAGGAGTGGTGTGAGAAATCTGTGTACTCTCTCACAAAGTGTAATTCTAGGGTCACAATCAGGTCAAATCCAGCATTTGTAGCCCAAAACCCTCCTCTCTGATAGACTCCTTTAGAGTTAGGGGCATGAGTGCGTGGCTGCTTGTTGTCTAGTGAGGAATTTATATCCATTTATATTGAAATGAAAAAGACCTTCAAGAGGTCCACAAACGCATGCTATGTTGAAGTCCCAGTGGAAATTGGGACATCTGGGCTTCCACAGTATTACAGAGTTTTTTTCAAATAAAATGGACGTTTCTTTCTTCTAAATAAATAGACTGCACTTCAATCTTGTGGCAAGGTTAAAGTAACTTAAATACCGTGCCTCACTGGGGCACACATTAGTTAGCGTATACTTCAGAGGATGTACAGTACAACCATGGAAAGCTACACACTGACTGACTTTTCAAAGCAGAACAACATACAGCTTGTAGCAGCAGCTTATTTAAACAATGTATTAACCTTAATGGGCTACTCTGTAGTGTTTGTAATTGGTAAATCTATGTTTTTTGGTGAAGTGGTGACAAAATGATCAAATTTTGGAAGTTGAACTTAAAGTGTTCAAGTGCATAAATGACTGCTATTTATTCAGGTTTGGATGAACGCATTTGTAAAATAGTTTTACATGTGATCAGATTGCTTTGTATTTGTGTGTGGATTGGAGTATGCATTTGTGAGCCCTCAAATGGTCCACATAAAATCAGTGTTACATTTTATTGTGCAGTTGTAGATCACATCATAGATATTTTGTAACCATTTCGACTAAGATTTCTAAAACAGCAACATACTGAAGAAAAACCATAAGAAGATAAAACAGAACAAAATAATTGTAATGTAATGAAATCACCACGTAAACAATTATGACCTAAAATGACAGTTTCCAATTTATCATATTTAAAATGTGATTATTACTCTGTGTCTGCCTGAACTGATCAGAGTAGTTTACTCCAGTGTTTTGTTTTTTTCTTTTTTTGCACATATTCCATGTTAAATAGATTTCACACTTAAGTGATGAGTTGATGATCCATTCATCTACCTTATAATCTTCATATTTAACCAAGGAGCAGCTCTTACCCCTTCTTGTCCACATTTATGACTTTCAAATTGCTCATCTCTCGCTTTCTGGGAATGTATCAGTCGCAAGCTTTCACTGCAGGTGGCTGTTTATTCTGTTTTAAATCAATATGCTGAGTAAGCAAGGGAACGAGTGGGTGCACTTAAGCACGTAGACACTTCTACGGTGATGGATCAATTTTCCTCATGTACCCCATCTATTCACCAGAGTGTGTAAAACACCTGCTCACACTCACCATGCACAAAACAAAAGGAATATCTCCAGCTTTCCATGTCCAGAAGCCGTTACAACACTAACTGCGGTTAGGGTTTGTTGGTAAGTCTCACTGGAGCTGTAATACTCTTTGGTTGTTATTGCTTGTACCTATGCATGAAAATTCACCTAGGGCATCAATACAAAATCCTCCACGCAATCTCCCACCAGCCCCAGCTTCAGCACCAAATTCCCACTTTTATCCTCTTCCTCCTAATTTGAGCATTTGCTCCACTGCATGTTAGCATTAAGATACATGACTACAGGGAGGAGAGCTTCATCTCGCTCTGCACTATCTGGTGGGAACTGAGTAGGATCCAGGCAGACTTAGATTTGCCTCCGGTGTTCAGAGGAGAGCACGGTAGGTCCTCAACAACCCTGTATATGTGTGTATATGTGAGTGCGCGTCTATGTCTGTTCCCCCAGTTTATCACTCTCCTGCAGGTCTGCAGTGGGAGCAAAATTCATTTACAGTACAAGCTTCTCATTTGACTGTTGATATTTGACTCCAGGTTATGGGACAGAGTTGGAGCCTCACTGAAGCCTCACTGCATTTCGCAACATTATTCGTTTTAAACACTAAGCGGCTATTGCTCATTTGAAAATCAGGTGATCGGCTGTTTCTACACACAGCTGTGTTTAGCTGCTCTTTTGATATTAGACAAAAAACAAAGTATGTAAGGAAGTGCTGAAAAACACCTTTCTCCAAGGTTAGTGTGAGAGCTTTGGACAGGGTATTCTCCATGTTAGATAAGAAGTTTATGTATTGAGAGGTTCATTAATCTTTTGCCGGTATTACTGTTGGA